CTTAAACCCCTTAGCGAAAAAACGAGACGGCCTCCCTGTTCAGAATCAGAATATGGAGGATTTTGTCCTGTTATTGACCATGCGACTCGGATATAGGGTGCAACAGATGATCCGTGAGGATGTTTCATAGCGAAGTCACTGGGCCATAGACGCCTCCCGAGTCGTCCGGCGGTGCCGGGTCCGCATGTCTCATCGATACCCTGCAATATGCCAACACATAACATCAAGCTACTCCCCTTTGGGTTTTGCAGTTACACATCTAGTCACGTGCTGTTGTAAAGACACACTGGAAAGGGTAGTGCGGGGGTGGTCCAACTAGCCCAAATGGGTTAGCGGGCACACATGAGCAGCACAACGCGCAGAAAGGAGATATCCAGCTCCGACCATCTAATCACACAATATAACTAATGCCCTTATGGCGGGGGAAAGGAGCCTACGCGCTGAGGAGGAGCAAATCCTCGGGGGCTGTTTTCTTGCCAAAAGTTATTCATATTTAGGATCTCCTTGCAGTACACATTGTCTTTTTGAGAGTGTTAGAGGGTAGATAGTTTCCTAGCTAGCTAGTTCTCTGAAATACAGAAACATTTATGGGGAAGGAGGAGAAAGCTTACGAGAGATCGAGAAAGACACGACCAATCGGTCTATAGGTGCCGGGGGACCTGCTGTATAAACCAAAACTAATGGTGGTATTTTTGTGGCTTCTATAAAAAAGAAAATGTTCCCCGAAGTTGACGCCCCCCCGCTCCCCTAAGGTATCTCGCGCAATATCTACACATTCCACCGGTAGGATGTTTCGGCAGATAATGCCACGGACCGCAATTGATGATATGTAACAGTCAAACCTCACTATGCCGGATCTCAATACATATCCCGGGTCCTTTGCTGTCCCGTACGGAATCCTCTGGGATGTTAATTCTCTTACTGCAAAATCAATTTGATATCCTATATGGAAATTGTCTGGTTCTTGGCACCCGGCATAGCGAGGTGCGACTGTATATGTACACCCGCAGGAAAAAAGTGAGGAAACAATGAGTAGCGTGACAACGAGTGCGTCTAACTTGACATCCCCACACCCGCAATACAGCCTCACGAGTATTCCCTAGCCATGCCTTTTAACAAGTCCGGAAAGTGAAGAGAGGCTACTCTTAATGAAAACATACAAGTTATTGAAGCCCAAGCTAGGGAAGAGTGGGAAAGGCTAGATTGGGAAAATGTATATAAAATCATTGACAGCATACCAAAGAGAATTGCAGCAGTAGTAAAGAACAAGGGAAGTCATAAAAAGTGGTAAATATAGTTCAGAGGCCGTAGTATCTATTCTGTATCTCATTGTGTAGTCATATTACTTCTATTCATTTCCATTTTCACTTTTTCATTAGGGTTCTGATTGGTTGCACTCGTTGTTTCCTCACTTTTTTCCTGCGGGTGTACATACAGCATGATTCAAATTTCGAAATTTCTTCATCCCAATACCTAGGCTGGGAAAGGTGGAATGCATTCACACATAGAGTACCCTCTACTCTGCCTACCTCCAACATGCTCTACTTTGAGTATGACCTACTCTTGCAGGCGGTGGCGGTGGTGGCAATATCGTCTACGGCGCCCCGAGAGTTGGAGCTTTACATTCCGCGATATACTTGGTAAATCGTGATCTCCATTTACTTCCGCCCCGTTGGTATCATGGGGCTGGCACTGCTAGAGAGTTCGACCGAAGAAAGACGACTCTGAGAGGAAAGCTTCAACTATGTAGTACCTAAACCCTTATGGTGCATCATTCAGTCAATGCCTACAAGCTCGTCTATGTAGAGTAGTAGACAGTGCCGGACATCCATAACAATGGGCTTCGGAAGAGCCCCAAAATAGCGCCTTAGACTGCCTCTCGTTGAAGTTGACGGGGCTGCCCGCTGCGGGAAAATAAGAAATATTTCTCACCACTCTGGCTAGCAATACCGACTGAGATATCGGTCACGTTAATTAAGAGCCCATGGCCACGAGTGGAGCAGGTGCCAAAGGGAATGCCAGTTTTCACATTGAGCTGCAGATCAAAGCAGAGAAATAATAGGTAGTGAAACAAATTTTGCAGCAAACTCTTCGTTGTATTTTTCAGAATGAAACACCCGATGAGCATATATTCGTGCAGGGCTCGACTACTTTTTGGAAGAGTGTGTAGAGTACCTAGAGTACAAGGACACTAGCAGTAGGCCACCTCGCGACCGCGAGTTGCAGGTTCCTTTGGAGAAGTAAGTGCTTCGGTCTGACATAGTTTTGGGGGGGATTCACCTCCTCCCAGCCAATTCACTCTCTTTCTTGATATTTTCCAATAGTTCTTGAATCTACACCGGTTTTTTGGGAGCGGGAGACCTTCGGCCCCCGGCTGCCGGGGGGGTTCACCTCCTCCCAGCCAGCTCATCCTTTCTTAATATTCTTAATATACTGAATAATGTATCCTTTGATCGCGCCGGATGCTCAGGATGGGTCATGCTTAGTCAACATCCCTAACCCTGAAATGTCTCGAACAGTGTCTCACACAGCGCAAACCGGCCAACCAAACCACCACTAAATGTCTCGGTATTTTTGAGACATAGGGTGTTGTAGTAGGTACATATTAGACACATGGTACATAATGTGCACATGCAAGTATGTGCAAGTGTGTGAACGTGGAAATGACGCTCGTTAATGTCTTAGAGTGTGAATCTTTAACTCCTAAAAAGGTATGTACTGACCGGTGAAAGTACCTACATACAGTGCGCACTGAGAGGTGCGCAGTGAATTTCCCTCACTCTAGCTAGATTATACAGTAGCGGTACATATAATCATTGTAGAGGCAGGGATCTGCGAGCAGGGTCTGTATTGACGGCTAGGCCAATGGAATTTTATTTGAATTTGAATTCTAACACCCCCCCGCTCTGCGAAGAAAAGAAGAAAAAAAAAGAAATGACACGTCGACGAGGGACTGGGGAAGGATGCAACCTCGAACATTTCGTATTATGCGGAACTCAAGATTGATTAACGCAAGTTGGGTATTTATCAATGGGATATACGGGATGTAAATAAGCTATCCATCAATTCAAAGTTTAAATGCAGTGCAATGTATTGGCCAAAGAATTATCATTTCCGTTCTCAAATTTAATCATATATGATACGAGGTAGAGTAGGCACAATAGAAACATACATAGTAGGACTGTCGCGATTAAATTTACTAGGGGCGATCGTAGGGTTGATAGCATACATAAGCTTTAGATCTAGAGGAGGAATTATATCCCTCCTACAACCCTACGCCTGAGGTGCCAAGTATGCCTGCTCCCTATTTCCTTAACCAGCCATACAAACCTTGTCTTTAGACCCCTGTTTCTACAATACTCTACCTGTCGCTGTACGTACTCGCGACAGGCATGAAGTACCCGAATATGCAGCTGCAAGTTTTTGGTGCATTTTTGACTTCTACTCCAATGCAAATTGCAGATTAGGACGTGCATTTTCGGGTACTTGTTACCTGCTGCGAGTAGATGGCCCAGGTACTGCAATGCATATTTGTACTCTAGAGTAGTTGGTTTGTTACACAGCGGAAAGTCAGAATCGCGTAATTTTTTGAGTGGAGACAGGGGATCCAGCTGTAAACAGGGTTTGAATTTCTGGATGGGCCAATAAAACCCCCTCCAGTATAGGTACTGGTACCTACTCTACATATATTTTCCAATTCCACATCACGCTGTATGGAGCGGGTATATGCGCAGCAGCACTACTCTACTCGCTTCGATCAGGACTCCTACGGCATTCAGAATTCGATAGCCGGGTCGGTCTTGGCAGATCTGGGTGGGGGGGGCTCCAATGGTTCAATTTACGATTATTATACTTGTCGTTACACAACGTCGCCTGGAACGAGTGCTCACTGGTGACTGACCTTGAACCACCCCACACATGTATGCGAGTCTAGTCCCGAGAATAGAGACAGGGCGAGACCTGCTTCTCAGGTCCAGTGCTGTGTGTGTGTATGTGCACGAGTAACCTAGAAAGATGACCTCCCAGGCCTCAATACCTCTCGACCGAGACCTGCACAGCACCAGATTCTAAGGATTTCTCGATCTACATACATGTTTCGCTAAAAAGAAAAAACACCACCAATCCTCATGAAAAGCACAATTCATGCGCGCCCAATCGATCGACCCATGCTAATGGTGTTTGTAATTAAACGCAGTCCCCCAGTTGCTGTCACTCTTTTTGTTTCGTGTCACCCACCCACCCCTTGCCGGGCCAGAAGAGGGCCGTACATACAGATTCGGATTGTGCATGATAAGGCCGAAGTGGAGTAGAACAGGAGGGCGGGCACTGGCACCACTACCACACGTGCCGATAGATCCCTGAGGATGCATCGACAGGCCCGCTCATTATATAACTCTCGCCTCATTCCACACTCCAATATACTAGTTGTGGAGATAGTAACCTGTCAGACAGCAGTTCTCACACTCGCGGCTTCTAGTTCCTCTCGAGCATCGCGCTCATCCGTACGGTCTACTCAACTACACCTAGCCATCTCCTAGCTAGGACAACCCCCTTTGCTACATATATACCTCCTCTTCAAATCCTTGAGGGGGAGTGTTCCACAGACAAATCTTTACCTTATCCGTGTGGTACGGTGACTACGTTTAGGTTTGGCTGCCTGGAGGACGACGGAAAACGCGGTATACATAGTAGGTATTTATTGCCCTTGACTTTTGAGTAGATCTATCTAGCACGTATGTCGGTATCGGGAGAGACCGTGCTAGGTCTCCCTGTGACTGCTCGAATCCACCACCATGATACCATGCTAATGTTAGGTATAGGCATAGCTGTTAGGAAACGGTTGGAAGTTCTCAAACACTTCAAAAAGCTTCAATAATCATTGACGGTACTTGAGATCCTCCCGGATATGGACTAGAAAAGTTTGGAGGCTAATTAGTACTAGCACTAGTGAGGATTTAGAAGGATTCCGTTTCGCACAATACATTCCTGAGCTCTCCGCGATGGGTCTCCCTACTTCGTACCAGCTATCCATGGTACTCATGTTGATGCTTGTGGGGATATTTCATATATGCCTCGGGTCTCCAATACCACAAACCAATCCAGATGGCACCCAGACAAATCCAAATGCCACCGACCCCAACGGCCTGACAGACCTCGATGCTGGCCTACTAGGAAAGGTTGCTTGGCACCCGGAACCGAAAGGTCGCGGCACCATTGGAATCCTTATCAGTTGTACGGCGACATACATCTTCTGTATCTGGACCAGTATTCATCCCAACATCATGCCGGAAACTACAAAGACCTGTCGAACGTTCTACAAGACCGTTCTCACATCCGTTTCCATAGTGCTTCCACCAGGTATAATGGTTTGCGCGATGGGTGAACTCTATGATGCATGCCAGGTCCTCAAAGAATGGAACAAGATGAGGGATGCGTGGGAGAAGAGCGGCGTCATTACGGCGAAAGACGACAGCAACGCGCTGGGATTGGACGGAGCATTCTTCGTCGTGATGGGGGGTTTCCTTGTCAAAAAGGTGAAAGTAGATGGAAAAGGGAATGTAATTAAGTCTTCCATTCATAAACGTCCGTCTACCTCTTCCGGTCAAACCGGCGCAGCACCAGACAAGCAGACAGCGCAGTCCACAAGCCAACCTGATGCCCCAGGGTCTAGTACGTCCCCGGGTACAGATACTACGACGGAGGCCGTCTACTGGTCCATTCTCACGCCTGAAGGTTTCATCGAGTACGCGAAGAAGGGCGTTATCACGCCTGAGTCTTTCGAAAAGCGTGACATGGACGACAAAGGGAAAGCCAACATGATTGCAAAGATATTCGCATTCGCCCAGGCATTGTGGTTGATTGCACAAGCGTTTGCACGCTGGCAAGATAAACGTGGGCTGCCACTCTCCCTGCTCGAGGTGCACGTGATTATCCAGGTTGTTTGCACATCAGTTATATACGCCTGCTGGTGGAAAAAGCCTCTGGATGTCTCTGAACCCCTCAAGATAAAGCTGCACACAGAGATAGCGAAACAAAAGGGTATAGCTATCCCAGATATCAAGAAACCAGAAAATCGCATAGCCGCACTGAACGCAAGCGAGAATTACAAAGACATCGAATTCGAATCGAAGGAAGCCAGCGCCATCAACAACAGCCCCCCCACCCCCGCCCAGGCAGACCTCGACAGTGAAAAGACCGAGCCCGCTACCACCAGCACCAGTCCCACCCTCATCCCCAATCCCGATCAAGCAAAAACCGTTGACCTTGAAGCGGCCCCCGCCCTCGAACAGAAATATCTGAAACCATGCATCATAACGACAAGGAAACCGAAATCGGACCTGGTCGCAGTCATGATAAAGGCCATTTTCGATATCACCAAACACATTTACTCAACCAAGAATAATTGGTATGGCATAGCGGCAGTGATAGTGGAAGGCTTGCTTGTTATGGTGTTGGGAGTACTACACATCATCGTCGCACTGGGATACAACCCAGAAAATGGAGCCCAATTCCCTTCAGAGACGGAGGTAACCCTATGGATACTTTGCTGCGGAGGGATGATGGTGTTCCCAGTCATCGTGGTGTTTATCGACCTCTTTACCAGGTACGAAATGGACCTATTCCACATTTTGTGGAAGGCTCCCTACAAGCTTGAGGGGGAGAAGCGACGTTCGCTTATACCATATGCTTTCACATCAATGCATAAGTTGTGCGTACAACATGCGGGTGATAGAACAGGATTCGCCCGGGTCCTCTTGGTGGTCTGGCACTACTTTCTTCTCTTGACATGTATCTTCTTCATCACCCTTACTTTCGCTTGTTCACTCTTCTTTACCATCGAGTCATACCTTGGCTTGCGCAAAGCGACGGAAAGTTTGTTTGAAACTCCACTGTGGATCGACTTCTGGCCGCATCTCTGAGGAAGCAAGTGTGGCGAGTAATCTGTGTAGTTGGGGTCCGGGCGGGGGGCGTATATCCATATGTTTTTAAATAACGTTGTTCTGATTTTCCTTTGTTTCTTTCCCTTTTGTTCTTTTATGAATAGTAATGCAATTTGATATCCGGCTCTATGACCTCAATTGAATTATCTTGTACTACTTTATAACTGAAGCTACGATTGATAATCGCTACGCTAGTCCTATATTCCTTGTGTTCCTAATAGTCCGATGTGATATGTGGTCGTGCGGGACAAGATTGCAAAGATGGTAGACTCTAAATATATCTAATTATGCAAAGGTGGATATCGCGGTCTTGGTGAGAGTTCTTTCCTTGAGATTAACCTAGTTTTTGCAAACAATCGTTTGGTTTATTTAGCGCAAGACCTGCCACCGTAGTGCGCGCTAGCCAACCACGAGCAGCCATCACCAGGAATTGAGTTGGCTAGACCTTGAGCCTTTTCGAGGCCGATTTCTCTGCAATCTTCTCGCGATTTGTCTGCCCGGATGTCATTGACATGTATGTAGGCACATCGTCGTATAGAGAGCCTTAGGATATTTAACCCTAAACCTAATAGAATTTCTGCCCGGTTGATACAGTATGACGTTCGAGAGCTTTGTATAGGCCTTTCCTCACCGTGCAGTCGCGTCGATTACAGCTTTCGAGCAGCTCGTGGAGCACACTTGTTCGGCTTGGGAGGCTGCTCTATAGATCGATATAAGGTACATATACACATTATATACACATGGCGCAGGACCAAAAAATCCCGACTTTTAAGTACAGTCGGGGTACAGAAGTTTTGGTAACTTTTGGTTGCCGTTGCAACACAAAATTTGTATGGGAACACCATACAAAGTCAGAAACACCACACAAAATCAGAAACACTCAAATCATGACTTTAAAAATTAGATTGCACACGCCTGAAGAATGAACTCAAAATTCTAGAATTCTCTGAGCTCCGTCATGAGATAATTCCCAACTGCCCTTGATGAGTTGAAATTTTTTGATAAGGTTGTGTGGTTGTTTCGGGTAGCTAAACATGTCTACTTTGGCTGTGAAAAGGGTATATTAGCAAAACTTCTGTACTAGCATTATACATTTACGCTATTGAAACGTCCATATATAGTTGTGGCCACGAGAGAAATTGTCTCGAACTACCGCCTTGAGACCTGCTTGCAAGAGTTGACAATATAGATAGTTTGAAGGGACAAATATCTCGAGACATACTACAAGACTTTTGCCGCCACTCACATAGTACGTAAATATCTAATAACAGTCAAATAATTTGCATCTTTTTGGATCATATGATCATATATTAATTCCGAATTTGAATATTCTCTTACCAAAATCATTAGAAGCCTTCCATCTTCACTGGATATTGAGAATCCATCACCAAATAACAATCAACAAGTATTACTCTATTGGGAGTATTCCGGTGGAGGGAGAAGACGATTATTTCAGTAATTGAATACGAGACTACTATTGTCTTGTAGTACTCTTGATACCTCTCGAGACTTCTGAAATATTTTCTCTCATAGACGGTACCAGACAAAACCACTACTAGTTTTATCTCGTCTTGTCTCGTGGCCATCACTAAACACTAATATTCGCTTAACTTGACATTATCAGAATTGGAAGGGAGCTTTATATATAAGGGACGATTTTAGTCACTGAGGTCTAGCTATGAACCCTAAAGAATACTTGATCCTAGCTATAGAATTGATATTTCAAAACAACTCTCTTTCTACAACTAACATATCTCATTTGTAATGTCATTATGTTTAAAAACTGTTTAGATATGTTTAGTTCTGGAAGTTAATATTTTCTGTCTATAATTACTGCAGCTTCGCATATATATACACTTATGCATATGTGAAGCTCGAGAGTATAGAATCCCGCCCATGGTATTATGATTAATATTATCTAAATACATCATGTGTGATTTCTTTATTAATGACCTGAGGTTTCTAATCGAATAGCGCAGTATATCTCCTAATGATATACTGTCTCTCTTCTTTATTCAATAGACCGATGAGTTCGTGGATGTTGTTAGGTGGTATAATTCGGACGATTCCTTTCCCTCCACGGTATCTTAATCTGCCATAATTGCATGCCGGGAAATGTCTGATATATGCCAATAAGAGTTCCCTTTCTTTTTTCTTTCTCATTACTCCCCCTTCTTTCAACTGTACCAGTTCATCAACAGCTTCCACACCTGTAACTGTGAGGTTGTGGAGTAATATCTGTCTAGTTCTTTGCAGATAACGTTAAACGAAATTGTTGTCGTTATTTTCTGGAATTTCCACTGAAAAAAAGAATAAAACTTCTCCGTATTGGTTGACGTTTAGTCTCGGATCAACTCTAAATAATACGTTGGAAGTAGAACGTGTCAGGTTTGATCTCTTCATGGTTAAAGAAGTTGCTTTGAACGGATAAGGATCTCGGTGTTGTGTCTCAAAGTGCGCTGCCCGGAATACACCGCAATGTGTTGGGATATCAAAGCCGTCGACCTGCTCGTCGAGATGGATATCCTCAATGTCTATATAGAAAATTTAAACTTGTATATCATTTAATTTCGTTTATTTTTCATACCTAGCAAGGCTACGTTGCTTTCCTGCATATTATTTTCATGCGCCAGAAAGTTCTTCAGGATCATCCTTTGATAGGGGGTCAATGGTTTGATCTTTGAAGTACCACAGAACGTAATTTTATAATTATTTTCAACTTGCAATTGGCCTGTCTGTGATTGTGCATCCGGTAGTCGAGAAGCCTTTATCCGACGGGATAGGAACTTTGACAATCGTATATTGCCGTCAGAGTCTTCGTCGCTTGATTGCATAGCGATGTTTTCGTGGTCAATAACATATACTAAAGCGTTCTTCTGCTCCAACATCATAATAGTATTAGCAATATTCTGATTTGTTGAGATCCTAGACTTCACTGTTTTAGCTAGTGTCCTACAGAAACGCTCCATTGCCCATTGAGAATATGAAAACAATCGGTCCAGCCCATTTTAATGCCTGCGGAACGTGTATTATTTGGTGGAACACCGGCAAACAGGTTTTTAGTCGTGTCCATTGCATGCGGTAATAGTGCCTCTCATAATACTCGCTGAAACTTTGAATATTACGCTGTCATTCTTTGAGATCTTCTGTGCTGATTGAATGGTCGCATGTTATTTGAATCGTCTCTATCAAGCTGATAAACTCAATATAATCGTCTTCTGGGAGGTGCTCTTTGAGGTAAACTGTCCCAATAAGAAAAGTAAATAATTGCCACTCTGCTGCAGTGATCATGTTTATATATTCAATGAAATTCTGTAATATGGGACCAAAGAGCTTTGGGAAATTTGATCCGCTGGAAGCAATATCCGCGCTCATTTTCTCCCATTCCTTTAGTGGTATATTGTAAGAATCGTCATTCCGGATAGCATTTGCCATTGCCTGGCCTACCTTAAGTCTGATATGACTATCAATACGGCTGCCATTTGGAGGTATAACAGGTGCGGCATTACTAGCAGAAGAGACGCTATGAAATCTTCGTCAAGGAGCTTGCCTGTCTGCAGGGGTCCGGAAAAAACTGCCTATAGATCCTCTTGGTCTTTCCTCGTCGCTATTCTCATCGTCTGCCAGCTCTTTCTCTTCTTTGTCTTTTTCCTCTTCTTGGTCTTCTTCCTCTTCTTCGTCTTCTTCCTCTTCTTCTTCTTCTTCTTCTTCGTCTTCTTCCTCTTCTTCGTCTTCTTCGTCTTCTTCATCGGAACCTTTATTATCTGGCATGCCTGTCTGTGCCCGGTGTTGTTGTCTGCACCTCGGTGCACTAGGTAGATCGCACACAAACCTTCCCCTCCAATGCTTAACAAGATCTGGCACTATGTTTTCAAACCACAGGTGCATAGCATCAGGTGGAAAGCTCCTTAGGAAATCGATCGATGACAGTCTACTTAATATTGATAGTCCTTTAATTCCATATTTTGCTTTTTGCTTTGCTGTTGCACTCCGTCTAGCAATTCTTCCGGCAACCATCCAAAATTCTTCGTCAGTCCGCATTGGTAGCAAATCAATTTCTCTTTCCCAAAGCATCCAAGGGTAATCAGATCCTCTTCGTGTTCGAGCTAATTCTGGTGCATCAGTCCCCGGCGTCATTGGGCAGTAGAGAGACTCGTTCCAAACACCATGCACCATGCAGTATTCACAATAGCAATAAGAGCGATTTCCCGTCACTTTCATCATCTTCTCGCATGCAACCATATCAGCGGCAATTAGGCATATATGCCCGTGGAGAGTCATTTTTCTTTCATACACAGGCATTCAGTTAGGTATTGCTGCATTTAGAACTCCGGATATCCCTCTTTGTAGTGCTTCGAACTCTTTAACTAACGGGTATAAGAAAGAGTCTATATTTTTTGGTGTTTTTGGACCTGGAACAAACTCAACAGACAGCATATTTTGGCGTTTTGCTCGTATTGTAGGGGGGAGGTAGAGGCATAAAAGAGCGATTGGCCAAATTGAAAACTTTGCTCTCGATGTAACGGCAATTAGGTATTTCTGGTTAGGTGATAAACTGGAACGAGGGAAGGAGGTATTGTGCAGCGGAATTAGGATTTGTAATGGGGATTTCTATTATGTTCTTTTGGTTTCTGTTACGCGAAGGTTTTAGTCATCGTTGGATCATGGGTGGATATATAAGGGGGTGTTGTCTTGTGTTTTTGTTTGTTTTCCTTCTTCTCTTCTTTCCTTACGCAACCTCTGTATTTATTCCACGAATACTATTCTTTGTTCGCACTACGTCATAGGGCTCCAATCGGTTTATCATACCAGGTAGAGCCACCCATAGTCCATAGTTAAAGCATACCTTTACGTCTACGTCCACGTCTACGTCACTACCTAGGTTGTATTCCTTGGCACCACAGTCTATCGCCTACGGTCCCCGTGATACGTAGGTTGCGTCCTCTATCGCCAACCAATACAACACCATAGGTTACAATTTCGGAACATGCATGTATTGATTATCAACAACTCAGCGATAGTCTCCAAGTCCTTTTTCAAGCGCATCCACGGGTCGATGATACTGTTGGAACTGAAGCCTATGCGCTTCTCCAACAGTGCCAACATGGTTTTGCTCAATATGCAACGGATTTACAGGAGGTAGAAGCGGAAGCCGAGAGGGCGAGAAGAAGGTTTGAACAAGATCTTGCTGCTGCCCGAGCTCAACAGGCTCCTGTTGAGGCTGTCGCCCCTGTGCAAGCACCCATCGAAGACAATGTTCCACCTGCACCCCCAGTACCACCCGCTACAGATATTACCTATCGGTCGGAGAAGCTCCCAGATCCTGAAGTATTCAAGGGGGATAGTGATCGAGAAAGACTACACCTGTTTAAGCAACAAATGAAGATTAAGCTATTGGGAAATGCCGATCGCTATCCCACACTACAGTCTAAACTATCCTATGCATTCAGCAGATTGGAAGGCGTTGCCGCTAATCAGTTTTTACAATACGTCGGTGAAGAAGGTATTGCTTTGCCCTCCATGCTATGATTTTATGAGGTTTTGGACACTGCTTTTGGGGACCCCGATCGGATGCGTACGGCCAGGAGGAATCTTAGGAACATCCGTCAACGAAATTGAACATTCGCCGATTATTTTGCTGAGTTTCAACGGTATGCTGCTGAGTCGGGTATGGATGAAGTCTCTCAGATTGAGGCTTTGATGGAAGGTATTAATGCGGAACTCGATGAATCAATGATACACCATGAAACTCCCACAACAGTAAATGCCTGTGCGACACTTCTGCAACGGTTGGATAATCGTCGCCGAGCGGCAGAAACTAAGCGAGGAAGTAAAAAACCTTGGACTACTACTACTCCGGCCCCTCGTCCTCCACCATATCCTGTTTCTGCTCCTCGTGCTGCCGCCCCAGTCGCCAATTCACCTGTTACTGAAAGTCATCCCTCATCCCGCCCGGGAGGTGATGTACCAATGGATCTATCTGGAGGACATCGTCGCCCCTCCCCTACCGAAAGAAATGCCCGCTTAGTTGAGGGCCGATGTTTCTATTGCGGAGGTGTTGGACATATGGTTAGGGATTGCCCTCAAGCGAAGGCAACTGGAAATCAACCAAGGAGGCCTGTGATGAGAGGAGCGGCGTTGACAGTGGAAGAAAATGACGAAAGCGATAACGAGTCGGCAAAAGATTTGTCCCTGCACTAAGTGGCTCAGCCCAGGGACCATTTAAGGATTTTTCTAGGATGTGTATTTCTGGTTTTTCGGTATCAGAGGAGGAAATGGATGGAAATCAACTTGTAGTAACTTGTTCAATTTCACAGAATAAAAATTCGTTTATACCTACCTACGCCCTTATTGATACCGGAGCATCAGGATATGCTTTCATTGATGAATCTTTTGCACGCCACAACAATCTTACAATGACCCCCCTTAAAATACCTCGCCATGTAGACGTTATAGACGGAAGGCCTATTAAGTCAGGAAAAATTACCCATATTGTCGATGTCTCGCTAGACATTCATGGCCATCAGGAGATGGCGCCATGTTTTGTAACGAAGTTAGGACACTATCCAATTGTGATGGGGATACCTTGGATGTAACGACATGATGTTACGATTCGACCGAAAGAAAATCTATTTATTTTTGACTCTCAAAGCTGTTGTCAACACTGTTCACTCAGTGGAACTGCAGTTATTGTTCATGGTATCTCGATTCCCTTACCGGAACACCATACAATCATCGTTTCAGCAACTGAGAAATCCACTCTCGATATTGAACAATTAGTACCGAAAGAATTTCACCATCATCTCCACATGTTCAAAGAATACGATGCTTCAATTCTACCACCACATCGACCATCCCATGATATCGAGATAGTATTGGAGGAAGGCAAACGACCACCATATGGACCTATATATGGATTATCTCAAATTGAGTTAAAAGCACTACGAGAATATCTTGATGAAAATTTACCCAAAGGATTTATTCGAGCCAGTGAATCACCAGCGGGAGCACCCATACTGTTTGTGAAGAAAAGCGATGGAACCCTTCGACTCTGTGTTGACTATCGAGGCCTAAATGCGATCACAATCAAAAATCGATATCCATTACCATTGTTGAAAGAAACCCTGGCTAAGTTATCAAGGGCACAATACTATACTAAGTTGGATTTACGATGGGGATATAATCAAATCAGGATAGTAGAAGGAGACGAATGGAAAACGGCGTTCCGGACTCGATATGGACATTTCGAATATACAGTAATGCCGTTTGGATTAGCTAATGCCCCTGCCATATTTCAGCATTGGATCAATGATATTCTAAGTCCCTACCTCGATCAATTCGTAACGGCATACTTAGACGATATCCTTATCTATTCCGAGACCCTATCAGAACATAAAGAACATATTCAAAAGGTTCTAAGGGTACTTGATGAGAATCATGTTCACCTTAAACCTGAAAAATGTGAATTTATGGTTCAGGAAACAAAATATCTTGGTCTAATCCTTACTCCGGATGGGAATAGAATGGACCCAAAGAAAGTTGTCGATGTTTTGCAATGGACCACACCGACAAACCTTCGTGATGTTCAAGTATTTTTAGGATTTGCAAATTTCTATCGACGATTTATTTTAGGATATTTGAAAATTGTTGCTCCGCTTACAGCTTTAACAAAGAAAAACGTTAAATTTGAATGGACGAATGAAAGGGAGGAAGCATTTCAAACTTTAAAAAAAATGTTTACAACGGCACCAATGCTAACTCATTTCAATCCGGATCGAAAGATTGTGATAGAAACCGATGCATCCGACTATGTTTCAGCAGGAATCCTATCTCAACGTGACAACGAAGGAATCCTACATCCAGTCGCTTTCTTTTCCAAGAAACATTCTCCTGCAGAATGCAACTACGAAATCTATAATAAAGAACTTTTAGCAATTATACGATGTTTCGAAGAATGGCGACATCACCTGGAGGGAGCTCAATTTCCAATTGAAGTTCTTAGCGACAATCGAAATCTTGAATATTTTATGACAACAAAATTATTAAATCGTCGACAAGCCCGTTGGTCTGAATTTCTTTCACGCTTTGATTTCGTTATACAATTCCGGCCAGGAAAACAAGGAACAAAACCAGATGCATTGACTAGGAGGTCAGGTGACCTATCTAAAGAGGGGGATGAACGGTTGACGCATCAGAGTCAAGTGATTCTGAAGCGAAAAAATTTGGATACTAAGCTAAGTTTGTTCGCGGGTTCTTTGTCAAATGAATCCGCTGAACGAGCGTTCACTGTAGAGGAGTTATTTTCAAAAGCTTATCAAGTGGATAGTTTCCCAAACAAGGTCCTCAATATGCTTCGGAATGGCATATGCCACTCAAACAAAATCTCGCTTGCCGAATGTACGGAAGATAACAACGGTCGGCTGCTTTATCGAGGCATGCTATATGTACCAGACGACGATGACCTTCGACTAAGGCTTTTAAAAGAATACCATGATAAACCATCTGCAGGACATCCGGGTAGAGCGAAGACTCTAGAGCTCCTAAGTCGAGAATATTACTGGCCACAGATGCGGAAGTTCGTCGATCAGTATATTAGGAATTGCAATGTGTGCACCCATAGCAAGGCATCACACAATGCACCTTATGGAGTACTTCGCCCCATGCCAATTCCCGATGGACCCTGGACAGACGTCTCGATGGATTTTGTGACTGATCTTCCTGAGAGTGATGGGTATAATGCGATTTTGGTCGTGGTGGATAGACTAACCAAAATGCGGCATCTAATACCAACGACCAAAGAGGCAGATTCAAAGGAAGTAGCGAAACTATATATCGATCATGTTTGGAAGCTGCATGGACTACCAGATACCATTGTATCTGATCGAGGAACACAGTTCGTTGCAGAATTCTGGAAGTCGCTTTGTAATCGGTTGGAAATATCACCAAAATTCTCTACTGCATTTCATCCCCAAACAGATGGACAAACGGAAAGAATCAATGCCGTAATGGAACAGTACCTCCGAAGTTATGTTTCCTACCAACAAGATGATTGGGCTCGAATGCTACCAATGGCCGAATTTGCGACAAACAACCATGCTTCCGAAACAACGAAGGTCTCCCCATTCTATGCTAATTCGGGAAGAAATCCAAGAATGACTTTTGGCCCTTTGGAACATGGTCGAACAACGGCTGAGGATCAAGCGAACCGTATTGCAAGAGAAATGAAGGATGTAGTAGATTTTCTAAGAGAAGAGATGTTTCGAGCGCAAAGGATACAAGAAGAATCAGCCAACAGGAATCGAACTCCAGCTCCTCGGTACCATTTAGGAGATAAAGTTTTCCTATCGACTCGTCATATTTTAACCAAACGACCTTCCAAGAAATTCGACTGGAAACGTATTGGACCTTATAGTGTTAAGCGCATTGTTAATCCCTACGCTTACGAGTTGGAACTTCCCCGATCAATGAAAATTCACCCAGTATTTCATGTTTCACTACTGTCACCTGTTGCGAATGATCCTTTACCGGGACAACAACAGTTACCACCACCTCCGGTTGAGATCGAAGGAGAAGAAGAATGGGAAGTCGAAGATATTTTGGATTCGAGGAAACGAAGATGAAGGTTTGAGTACTTGGTACGATATAGAGGATATGATGAAGCCTCCTGGCAACCACTATCGGACCTTGAGCATTCACCTGATATTGTCAAACGATTCCATGAGCGTTATCCAGGGAAGCCTAAGCCTACCAGGAGGTAGGCCTTAGAGGGGGGCGTGGTCTGTAACGGCAATTAGGTATTTCTGGTTAGGTGATAAACTGGAACGAGGGAAGGAGGTATTGTGCAGCGGAATTAGGATTTGTAATGGGGATTTCTATTGTGTTCTTTTGGTTTCTGTTATGCGAAGGTATTAGTCATCGTTGGATTATGGGTGGATATATAAGGGGGTGTTGTCTTGTGTTTTTGTTTGTTTTCCTTCTTCTCTTCTTTCCTTACGCAACCTCTGTATTCTACCCGCTCGCCTCTGGCTCGCGGTAGGATTTCTTCCCCCCGAGATGGAGTTATACTGATTCTCGAATTGCTTCGGTCCCTGAACTTCCCTCGCTCGACACCCCCCATTCTTTGCTCGTTCGGTGCCCTCACGGGACGCGTCCACCGTTCACCCCTCGCCAAACCAGCGGCTACTCTCGAAAGCCGCCTTCGTCCCTCCTTATTTTCACTCATCGCACGAGTGATCCCACACGTCGGGTACGCACACTGTCAGTAATCTCCAGTCAGCGAGAACCTACTGCCAAAGCGCTCGACAGCCCGCGAAGTTAGCGACCTCTCGGTCGCGAAACTATCGTCAAATTTTTACCCGAGGTCCCTTGACCTTACCCCTCTTTATCGGCCTTAACCAGGCCACCCACTTTTACCCGAGGTGGCCCGCTCCCCTCACCCAAACCCAACCGGTCTCCGAGACCACCCTCAACACAACACGGTCGGCACCTTCGATTGCGACCCCCATACATACTGAGCCTCCGGCTCAACCCTTTTTGCATGTCCCCTCCAGAGGACACCACTTCAAATACGACTCGGGCACAGTCTTTAGCCGTTGCTCCAGGGACCGACGACCCCACCCATTCTTACTTGACCTACCGGTCACCACTCCTCAACTCCTCGCTGCCTGACAACCAGACCCCCGAGGACCCACTCTTACACCACCCCCCTCGCTTCCACCCTGACGCTGTTGCGGTTGGCTTCTCCTGCCTTCGTGCGCGTGGTTTCCCAGTCCTGTTAAGGTTTGTCCACAGATATGACATCGGGAACGTTGGTAATGATATCGTTTCGATTGAACACTACGTTTAGGATTGTGCTCGCTTATGCAGTTGACGGAGAAGTTTGGGGTTCATTCTTACTACGGGGAGGTTTCTTTGTTGTCGCTTAGATTCTGCTTACCTGTACCACTTGTTATTTGCGCCCTCTTCGTGCGTCGTTTACTTTTATCTTATGTACGTAGTTCTCGTAGCTGCGGTAGTTAGTTTTTGAACTTTGTTTTTGCTTTCGGGTTAGTCGGTGGAGGTTGTAGTCGGGTAGTTAGGTGTGCGATAAGCTTCGGCTTCTAAGCAATATAAGTTTCTTCTTCTTCTTCTTCTGTATTCTACCCGCTCGCCTCTGGCTCGCGGTAGGATTTCTTCCCCCCGAGATGGAGTTATACTGATTCTCGAATTGCTTCGGTCCCTGAACTTCCCTCGCTCGACACCCCCCATTCTTTGCTCGTTCGGTGCCCTCACGGGACGCGTCCACCGTTCACCCCTCGCCAAACCAGCGGCTACTCTCCAAAGCCGCCTTTGTCCCTCCTTATTTTCACTCATCGCACGAGTGATCCCACACGTCGGGTACGCATACTGTCAGTAATCTCCAGTCAGCGAGAACCTACTGCCAAAGCGCTCGACAGCCCGCGAAGTTAGCGACCTCTCGGTCGCGAAACTATCGTCAAATTTTTACCCGAGGTCCCGTGACCTTACCCCTCTTTATCGGCCTTAACCAGGCCACCCACTTTTACCCGAGGCGGCCCGCTCCCCTCACCCAAACCCAACCGGTCTCCGAGACCACCCTCAACACAACACGGTCGGCACTTTCGATTGCGACCCCCATACATACTGAGCCTTCGGCTCAACCCTTTTTGCATGTCCCCTCCAGAGGACACCACTTCAAACACGACTCGGGCACAGTCTTTAGCCGTTGCTCCAGGGACCGACGACCCCACCCACTCTTTATTTGACCAACCGGTCACCACTCCTCAATTCCTCGCTGCCTGACAACCAGAAGCCCGAGGACCCACACTCGACCCACCCCCCCTCGCTTTCACACCTGACGCTGTTGCGGTTGGCCTCTCCTGCCTTCGTGCGCGTGGTTTCCCAGTCCTGTTAAGGTTCGTCCACAGATATGACACCGGGAACGTTGGTAATGATATCGTTTCGATTGAACACTACGTTTAGGATTGTGCTCGCTAATGCAGTTGACGGAGAAGTTTGGGGTTCTTACTTTTACTACGGGGAGGTTTCTTTGTTGTCGCTTAGATTCTGCTTACCTGTACCACTTGTTAGTCGCGCCCTCTTCGTGCGCTGTTTTTGTTTTATTATGTACGCAGTTCTTGTAGCTGCGGTAGTTAGTTTTTTGTACTTCGTTTTTGCTTTCGGGTTAGTCGGTGGAGGTTGTAGTCGGGTAGTTAGGTGTGCGATAAGCTTCGGCTTCTAAGCAATATAAGTTTCTTCTTCTTCTTCTTCTGTATTCTACTTGCTCGTTAAGGCTCGCAAAGAACTCCCTGATAATCAACCTCGCTTTAAAACATCTTATTTCACTCCCCTCGGTTTACCCTGGTATACCATACCAGGCTGAGCCATTTCGTCCCCGATCGTACGGTCGCGTTTGTTGTTCCTAGCGAAAGAAGCACCACGAAAACTGGCTTCTAGCGAAGAATTCTCCAGCCTTGACCTCCCAAAGGGAAGGAAAAGAAACCTATCCGAAACATCACTTTACGCCGCTAGGAGAACTGGACATTCAGTCATGTCGCAGCAAGCTTCGCTTCAGTCCTTCTTCACCCAGTCTTCCCAGCAAGGGACAGCCTCCCCGCAGAACAAGAACTCCCCGATGCCCGACCCAACCCCACACGGAGCTCAGGAACAGGAATTCTCCTCGACCTTTGCAACAGAATCCGACTACAACGACCCATACCAACCGAGAATTGACTACCTCTACCCAAGCGTCGTCCCCCAGGACACTCACACCCAGACGGACCTGAACTATATTACCTGGGCCATCAGACATGCTACCAGCCGGATCTGCCCACCCTCCGACAGGATTGAAATCCTCGAAGAGCAAACAACAACACTCCGGAGAACAGTGGATACACTGAAACACCAAATCGAGGCGCAGACAAACATGATCACCAATATGCATTCGGCGATCCACGCCCTCCTCAGCAAACAACCACAACCGCAGCAACCGCAGCAGCTGCAACAACAGCAACAACAGCAACAACAGCAACAACAGCGAAAACCACAACAACCGCAAGGACAGAGAATGCCCCCTCCAGCGGTCCCACAAACAATTCCCCAAGCAGCGCCACAGGCAGCTCCTCAAGCCCCCCCACCCGTACCCCCCCAACAAGCCCCTCCCCGTGGATGGAAGGCAGGCACCTGGGCTGCCGTGGCCTCGGCACCCGGTCCTGCCCAAGGAAACTTCCAGGTCATCGAGAGAAGAAAGAAGTCCGCAAAGCCAAAAGCGGACCCCCTCTTCAAACCAGAGTACACCAAAATCAACAGGGAGATCATTGTTGAAACTACTGCCCCATCCGACGTCAACCCCTCCGAAATCAGGACCCTCGTCAAAGCAAGAATCCAAGATGAGTCCTGCCACTTCATCTCAGCAAGAAGAACACCGAAAGACAACTTCATCTTGGAAACAAAATTCGTTACCCCCGCAACAAAGGCAATGGAATATGCCAAAGAAATTGAGGAGGCCCTCCTCACCCTACAGGTACCGGTCGCTATCATCCACGCAAACTCTAAATGGTCAAAGTTTCTCATCCATGGAATCCCCACAACGGTCGGGGAAGGCATTGAAGTGGGACAATTGGTAGCATCAGAAATCAGAAGCAACTATGGAGAGAACTTCCAACTTGCCCAGGTTCCCCGCTGGATCTCCAGGGCAGAAACTCGAATGGAGAAAACCCACTCATTAATGGTCATCGCACTCCCAGGACAAATCACAATGGAAACGCTAGGAGTTAAATTCCTATCTCTCTTCAACCGAAGCTGCCATATCGAGGCCTTCCTCCCAACCTTCCCGGATACCCAGTGTGCGAAGTGCCTCGAATACGGCCACCGCCAGGAGAAATGTAAGAACAATGGGAAATGCGGCCACTGCGCCGGAGATCACCTCACCAGCTTCCACCCATGCAATCAATGCCAGGGAGGATATAGATGTACCCACACCCCAATCAGATGTCTGAACTGCAAAGGAATCCATAAGGCCTCCGACCCAGCATGCCCGGAAAGAGTCAAACGCCGATTCCTCAATAAAGGAAAGGAAAACGCCCCACCTGCCCAAGACCCACCTGCCGCACCCGCCCAAGAGCTACTTCCAATAATCCAAGTACCAGCCACCGCCCCGGTCGGAGCCACAACCGTTCCCGAAGATGACCAACACATGACAAATAATGCCTAGGCCCCGAACCACCGCGCTCGCACACCAACTCAATTGTGCACGGAGCGAACTTATTACCAAGGCGGCGGTAGAAGAAGCGGAAATGGACTCTAGTATTTATTTCCTATTATTACAAGAACCATGGACCTCAGCAGAGGGATACCCACCAGAATCAAATCTTTTTTATACTTTCACAGCCAGCAACACCAATACAAAATGTGCAACATACGTCCGCAAACATGCCAACCTCAAATCAAAACACCACTATACATAAGATAATTTTATAGTATCGATCACGGTGGAAATCCAGAACAAGAAAACCCAAATCCTAAACATATACTCCCCAGGCCGGAGTGGCCCCTTCGCTCAAGTCGCAAGTACAATCCAAACCCTTGACAATTGCTTAGTGATGGGAGACTTCAACTGCCACCATCAAATGTGGTACGGAGTAAATTCACATGAGTACAGAAACAACATTCGAGCAGACCGCGTCAATGGTGCACGGCTAAAACAATGGATAACCCGACAGAAACTGACACTCCTGAACGAACCAGGCGTCTTTACGCACTTCCCCAGAGACAGAGGGAAAAGGCCCACAATCATCGACCTTACATTTGTAAAAGGCCCAACACTTGACCACAACCTACGATGGAGCACTGAACCCTACGGAGCAGGCTCAGACCACGGGAGAACCTCCGTTCACTTACATTTGGAAAAACCACCTTTTGTACCAAGACGAATGTGGCGACAAACAGACTGGAAGCTATTGGAGAACCACATGTCAAATATTTCCATCCCCGTAGAAGCTTGGGAAATCAAGGAACTTACGGAACAAACTGTCGACTTCTTCCTAGAACTGGTCAGGGCAACAGTCAGCATAGTAACACCACTCTCGAAGGAGGGGGTAAGAGCCAACTCCTGGTGGTCAGATGAGATGAAACAGATGAAGGCAAGGGTAAACGCAGCAGAAAGGAAGGCGAGAAACACAAGGAAACCCTATCACGTGGAGGAACACCGGAAGGCTTGCAGAGAATGGACAGTCATGATCCGGAAAGCAAAAGCGGACCAGCGGGAAAAGACGATGAATGAGGCGAAAGGTAGTGAAGTCTCGAGAATCCTAAACGCGGGAAGGAGAAGAGACACAATCATACCAACCATACAAGGTGAAGAAACGTTTGCGGGGAAGTGCCAAGCTCTAAGAGCCCAACTTTTCACCTCGAAACGGACGTCCCCCGACCATTCCCCCCTAAACATTAGACCCCCTTCTTTTGACCTTAGCAACACCTTCGACATAGTCACCCCCGAAGAACTTAATAAAGCAATCGACTCCTGTCCAGCGCACTCGGCGACCGGTCCGGATGGCATTCCTTACACCTTTATTAAAGCAATAGTCAAAGCAAATACAGCTCTAATCCAAGACATGTTCTCCGCCATGCTCCCACACGGTGTACATCCAGCGGAATGGAAAGTAGCTAAGTGTATCCCGATCCCGAAACCCGGTAAAGCAAACTATCATGAAGCAAAAGCCTATCGGCCCATTTCCCTTCTACGATGTTTCAGCAAAATCCTGGAGAAGATAGTGGCCCAAAGACTCTGCACCGCTGGAGAAATCCTAGGCACACTCTCAGCGAACCAATTTGGAGGAAGACCAACCATTTCGGCAATCGACGCCCTCCTGAAAACCTTAACACCAATACAACAAAACCTACTACTGAAAAACAGTACCGGAATCGCCCGGCGAGACAGACCAGCGATCCTAACAAACGACATCCAAGGAGCGTTTAATTGTGTCGATCACCTACTCCTCGCAGAGATCATGTACCAACAAAAATTCCCCACCTACCTGACAGAATGGTGCAAGGAATTCAACACCGGCAGAAAACTACAGTTCCAATTTAACCATGAGCTAGAGAAACCACAGCCCTATGATTCTGGAGTGCCGCAAGGTAGCCCCATGTCCCCGGTACTATTCATGATCTATGCCGGAGTAATCCTGGACCCAACTAGCAGCCCAAAGGAGATGGACACAACTTACATCGATGACGATGCGCTGGTGCAAATATCCAAAACACCAGGCTTTACAATCAGGAGAATGGAGGAACGAATGAGAGAAAGACTAATCAAAGCTGAGCCACTCCAAATCAAATACGACCCGGATAAATCCGATCTGATCTTCTTCCGGCCCACCACATCATCTACACAACAACCACGACTTCCAGTCAAAGTCAACAACATCAATATATACCCCAAGGAGAGGCTAAAATACGTAGGAGTCTGGATAGATCCGACCCTCTCCTTCCGGCCCCATATCGAAGCAGCGATCGCAAAAGGCCTCAAAGCCCTCCACCAAATCCGAAACACCGCCCGCCTGCCAGGTATAACAGTCAAGACAGTTCATCACCTAGTAACACAAGGCTTCCTTCCAAGTCTGCTCTGCGGATCCGAGGCTTGGTGGACTGGCGCAGACCATGTTATTATATCCCTCGAACCACTATACAATGAAGCTGCCCGGGTCATTACAGGCCTACCTCGATGGACCAAGAGAGCTAAACTCCTCCGAGAAGCAGGACTACCTCCCCTAGAACACCTCCTAACATATCGCTCAAGAAAGTACGGAACCAGAATACTCTGCACCGATGCAACCCACCCCAACAATGAACCCCTGATCGAGCTCCTCCCATACAGAGAAGCAAATATCAAAGGGACAGGCCTACATCGAATCGCCTCCCTCCTACTCCCATATCAAATGCCCGGAAATGCGAGAGACAAGTGGAATCAAAATAAACTACTACGCGACCACCAGTTGGAAGAATGGAACACACAACCAATACTGAACTACCACCACCGGGGGGAATTCCGCCCCCCTCCCAAGATTGCGAATCTCACCCTTACAGAAGCAAAGAAAGTTTTTCGAATCCGGTGTCAAACTACCCGACTCGACAAACACGCAGTACATACAGACCCGGAACCATGCCAGTGCGGTATGGAAAACTCAGCGAAACATACACTTATGGAATGCCCAGTATGGGCTCGAATCCGCGCCCCTTTGATAGAGAAGATCCCCGGAGCGATGACCTGGGAAAACTGGATGTTTACAAACTTGAGGACGGACCTCATTTTACAATTTGCGAAAAACTCTCAACTCTCGAAATGGTACGAGTCGGCGGAAGCGGAGGCGGACCTGGAAGAGGGGATGGAAGGAAATGACTAGGGATGGGATTAGGAAGGGCAGTTTTCTCTTACCTTTAAAATTCGGTTTTATTTTTGTTTTGATGGATCCAGCGCTTGATTTCGCTGAGATATGTTATCTCTCCTTGTCGTTGGGTCTTTCTGGTTGAGTGTCGTTCTGGAATTTCCTTGCTTTTACTTATGTTCGCTTGTGTTCGCTTTTGTTTTTGTTTTTTTCGTGTTCGTTGTTTTTCTCTTTTTCCTTTGTTCGGTTTGTGTTTTAGGCGGTTGGTTCGGCGTGCGATAAGTCTTGTACTTCAAAGCAATATAAGTTTCTTCTTCTTCTTCTGTATTTATTCCACGAATACTATTCTTTGTTCGCACTACGTCATAGGGCTCCAATCGGTTTATCATACCAGGTAGAGCCACCCATAGTCCATAGTTAAAGCATACCTTTACGTCTACGTCCACGTCTACGTCACTACCTAGGTTGTATTCCTTGGCACCACAGTCTATCGCCTACGGTCCCCGTGATACTCGATTGAAATACTTGGACACCATCTGTTGTCAACACAAAATCTATATCTTTGTTTGACTGAAATAGTCCCTTCTCCTTCATGTCCCGATAAAGCTGACTAGTCCAAAAGTCCGACGTAACATCTTCAGCCTGCATTTCGCATTGATGGCGGTAAGCTTTCAACTATTTTGCACGTTCTGTATCAGCGTACTATAATCGGAGGCGGTGTTCTATTGGAATATATTCGTACGTCGCGAAAGGATTTTTTCGGCTGGCAGGGTCTTTCCATCTAGGGTGTTGACAATAGTTGCACTGCCTCTTTTCAGAATATAATGCAAATGACATACATGAAGATTTACAACAGTCTATACTGATAGATTCTACTCCAGTCTTTGTTTGGATCCATTTCTTGATAGTTCGATAATCCCAGGTTGCACGTGTCTTGCCGTCCGGATCAGCAGAAGAACTTATATCGTTGATTAAACAGGTGATATCGGTGGCGGATGCCCTGAATAACGTGTATGTAAGCTTCATATCGTGTATGGCCACTGAAAGCAATTCGATTTTTGTCATAGCGGTTTTTCTCTCCCCATAAGGAAAACCTTTATCGTTCGATTCACTGGAACCTGACGAACCTGACTCGTGATCATGATCTATATCCATATTATCGCTGTCACTTGATGAAAGATCATCTGATGAATCATCCGCTGAAGATTTTGTAACGTTGTCGTAGCTATTGACAGCTTCGGCATTTGATATAGGTGGTTCAGCGACAAACCCTCTCCGCATCATTCCTGATCTCAGTCTTTCCTCATCAGTTCGTTCTAGGTCTTCACTGTTTGTGCTTTCAAAGAGCTCTATATCAGAACTCAACTGCCCAACGCCAATACTACCATCCCCTGAGAAATTATTACTAACTTCCGAGCTTGTTGAATTCATCCCTCTATTGCGAGCGGGGTCGACCTCGGAATCTGATACTGTGCCCATTTCAATATCGGATTCCGGACCCATGATTATCGGCACCGACTGACTCAGCTTCTACCGTTCTCCTACCGAGAACCCCCGAACCTCGTCCCAGTCTTCCCAAGTCAGCCCGTAATACAAGGACTCAGTGAGCCTAGTGTGATCTCAAGGGGGTGAGTAGCGAATATTCCGCAGGGTACGAAGTGTGTAATAGGGGGACGGTATGAGAACTCGCAATAGGGGTCCTAAGAGACTCTAGCGTTGGTAAGGGTCAACGGGACAAGGAGAAAGCGAAGCGGTGGTCTTTTTAAATAAAGAAGAGGGCGATAATATTGTGTAGCAATAGACAGCGTAGATACAGAAGACGTTGCGTAAAGAAAGAAGAAGAAAAAGAACGAGAAATATAAACAAACCCCCCTTAATATACTCAAGGAAATCCCAGCGATGACAAATCCAACATGACTCATACATTAACGATCAACAGAACCCGATAGAACCCAATAGAATCTTTCTGACTAATCCGACTCTTCGTAACCCCGTACATCCCCTAGTCGATCCATGAAAGTAGCCCCTCCCTTCAAGCGCGAGGTCCTGCGAGCCTTAACCTTAATCTTTCCCTCCAACGGTCCAGGTTTATCAGGGTAACGTGTATGGAAGATGTCAACGGCGGCGGTATTATCGTGGTATGCGGCGGGTTCCCAGGTAGGGTCGGTATACCCTGTCCATTTAACAAAATATTGCAGGCCATTATTCCGTGTTTCGCGCGAGTCCAAGATTTCCTCAACTGCATACTCCTCTTCCTGCTCGACGATAATAGGTGGGGGTGGTGGTTGAATTTGCCCCGGGACAGGATCATTTGCAGCGGGGTCTAGCGATGATACGTGGAAGACGGGGTGCATCTTCATACTCCTAGGCAGGTCGACTCGATACGCATAGGGCGATATAATTTCTTTAATGGGGAAGGGTCCCAGTTTCTTCCAGTCCAGTTTCCGGGAGTTACGCGTGGTTCGGATGTTTTTTGCTGAAACAAACACCATATCGCCGATATCGTACCGTGGAGCCGGCGTTCGTTTGGTATTGATGGCCTGCTCTTGTTGATCTTGCGCCGTGTGGATGTTGGAACGTAGGTACTCGTGGAGTTCTTTCATCTTCGAGGCGAAGTCTTTAGCATTGAGACTCGGTGGGGTCCTGTCAAGCGATTTAATCGTCGCTGTGAACCGGGGGTGGAAACCATAGTTCGCGAAGAATGGTGTGGCTTTAGTGGATGCGGAGACCTGGTTGTTGGCGGAGAATTCTGCCATAGGAAGCCATTTTACCCAATCGTCCTGTTGATAAGAAACATACCCATGTAGATATTGCTCCATCACAGCATTCAGCCTTTCGGTTTGGCCGTCAGTTTCCGGATGGAAGGCGGTAGACATCCTTGCTTCGATGTTGAGGTGTTTACAAAGAGCTTTCCAAAACTTGGCTGTAAATTGTGTACCGCGGTCGGAGGTGACATGTGTCGGTAGCCTGTGGAGCTTCGATATGTTTCACAGGTATAGTTGGGCGACGTCTTCGGAGTTAACAGTAGTATTACAGGGCAAGAGATGTCGCATCTTTGTTAGCCGGTCAACAACTACCATAATTGCATCGTACCCTTCACTCTCTGGTAGGCCAGTAACAAAGTCCATTGATATTTCCTGCTATGGTTGTTCGGGAATCGGTAAAGGTCGAAGTACACCGCGCTTTCCATGGGTATTGGGCTTGCTTCGTTGGCAGGTGTGGCAGTTCCGAACGTAGCGGGCAATATAATTCCGCATAAGGGGCCAGTTGTAGTCTCGACTGACGAGTTCGAATGTTTTTTCGCGTCCCGGATGTCCCGCAGAGGCAGCGTCATGGTAAAGTTGAAGGATTCGGAGCTTAAGGGGGTCGTAATCAGAGACATATATGCTGCCTGGGTAAAGCGATCGGCCTTCAACCTCGGTGCATTCGGCGAGTGATATGTCCTTTGATTGTCGTTAACCTTTGTTCCGCATATCCAGTATCTTTTGTGGGAACGGGTCAGCGCTATATCCTTCATCGAATAGTCCATGCAGTGAGGCGTTCTTTTCAGCGGGCTCATTTGAGAAAGAACCCGCCAACAAACTTAGCTTTGCATCGAGATTCTCCTTCTTCAACACAACTTGACTCTGATGCAATTGTCTTTCATCCCCCTCTCCAGGGAGATCTCCCGATCTTCTTGTCAACGCGTCCAGTTTCCCTCCTTGTTTTCCTGGTCGGTACTTAATGACAAAAGTAAACCATGACAGATATTCTGCCCACCGTGCTTGTCTCCGGTTGAGTTGTTTGGTACTCATAAAATATTCGAGATTCTTATGATCAGATATGACGGCGATTGGGTGTGCAGCCCCTTCAAGTTCCTGTCGCCACTCCTCAAAAGGCCGAATAATTGCCAGTAATTCCTTGTCATAAATCTCGTAGTTGCATTCGGCGGGGGAGTGTTTTTTCGAGAAGTACGCGACAGGTCGAAGGATACCATTGTCATCATATTGGGAGAGTACACCGGCAGAGACATAGTCAGCTGCATCGGTTTCCACAGTAATTTCTTTCTCCGGGTCAAAATGAGTAAGAATGGGAGCAGTGGTGAAGGCTTCTTTTAGGGCGTTGAAGGCGGTTTGTGCTTCAGGTGTCCATCCAAATGATATATCCTTACGTGTTAGTCTGGTAAGCGGAGAGGCCAGTTCCGAGAATCCGCGTATGAATCGGCGGTAAAAGTTAGCAAAACCTAGAAATGCTTGCACATCCTTAACTGTTTTGGGGACGGTCCAATTCTTCACTGTCTCCACTTTCCTTGGGTCCATTTTAATACCATTGGGTTCAATAATAAGGCCGAGATAGGTGGTACTTTGTGTATGAAATTCGCATTTCTCCGGTTTCAGCAGTACTTCATTTCTTTGTAGGGCTTCCAAGACCTTTTCGACGTGTACTTGATGTTCCTCGAAGGTGTCGCTGTAAATAAGAATATCGTCAAGGTAGGCTGTACAGAATATATCAAGGTAGTCGCGGACGCAATCATTGATGAAATGTTGAAAGGTTGCTGGTGCATTGGTAAGGCCGAAGGGCATCACCGTATATTCAAAATGTCCGTAACGCGTTCGGAAGGCTGTTTTCCGATTCTTCACCTTCAGCCATTCGGATCTGGTTGTACCTTTGGCGAAGGTCAAGTTTGGTGTACCACTTGGCTTTGGAAAGGCGTTCGAGGGTTTCCCGGATGAGTGGCAACGGGTAGCGGTTTTTGACAGTAAGTTCGTTAAGGCCACGATAATCAACACAGAGGTGGAGTGTTCCATCGGCCTTTTTAACAAATAGGACCGGGGCACCGGCAGACGAAGAGCTGGCCTGAATGAAGCCTTTTTGGAGGTTGTCCTGTATGTATTGTTTCAGCACAATGAGTTCCTCGTGGGACATACCATAAAGTGGCCCAAAAGGGGGCTCTTTCCCTTCTTTAAGCGGTATCTTATGATCATAGGGGCGGCGAGGCGGCATCTCATTAGCGAATTCTTCGTCCATCATCTCGTGAAACCTATTATACTGGGTTGGGACTCGGTTCTTCCAGTCTTCCTTAGGGGCCTCGCCCATTGTTTGATCTATTTCCTCAATAGTTGTACTAAAGATTTGGAGTTTGTCCCTTCGAGCAAAGCGACAAAGAGCAGCTGAACTGACGAGGTGGAAACGGGGCGGTGGTGCAACCCCTCTAATGGGCACGGGTATCGCGGAAGAGTTGCACTTGTGTTTGCAGTATTCGGAGTCGAACCGTATGCTATTGTCCTTAAACCGTAATGTGGCGTCGTGTAATTGAAGCCAGGGAATTCCGAGGATGAGTAGGTACGAGCCGAGTTTGGTAACGAAGAAGGGGGTAGTTTCATGGTGGGAGTCAATTGATAGCGGTAGGTAGCAGAGGTGGGTAATTTGTCCGGAAGATATGGGCCGTCCGTCGATGACTTCAAGAGTGCGGGGTGATTTAAGGGGGAGAAATGGAAAGCTGTTATGGCGCACGAATGTTTCATCAATGAATGCGAATCCGGAGCAACCGGTATCGATCAATGCGTGAGTTTGAATGGATATTTCATTGTTTATAATTTTACAAGAAGCAACAAAATGATCCCCATCCAATTTATCCTCCACAGACGATACTGAGAAGCCAGAGATAGAAAACGCAGACAAAGGAGAAACATTGGAAGGTCCCAAGCAGGGGCCATTAATCAAGCCCGGGACTACTGAAAACCCGACTCAGAGGAGGCGGGACTAGCGACTGGTGGAATAGCGGGGTCGATAGCCGTATGACCGGGGGCGAGGAGGGCGCCTCTCATAACCGGTTGGTTGCCACGCAGGCGATTAGCAGAGGGGCAGTTGGTGAAGACATGACCGGGGTTAGCGCAGTACATACAGAGATTGTTGTCCCTTCGCCATTGTTTTTCGGCCGCAGAGGTTTTGCGTTGTCCATTGACAAAAGTGTATCGTTGTTCGGTGGCAGGGCATTGAGTGGGACGGTTTTGGAGAGTGGAGAGGTCCATTGGGACGAGGCCTCCAGCGGTATGAGATGGGTGTGCGACAGCAGTGGGGGCGGTGAAATGTCCCATCGTATTCCGAATGGCCCGCTGTTCAGCTTTACGGCCCCGAACCTGGTTGTCAATCGTAATCAACATGGTGGCATAGGCCTCGACAGTGTTAGGCCTGTCTATCCGGTATGTCATGGCGTCCTTCAGGTCTTCCGACAGTCCTTCAGCCAGCGCATCGATCTTGGCTCCTTCGTTGTAGTACAGGTATGCCACAATACGGAGGAATTGCGAGTAATAGGTGGCGAAGTCCCCTTTGCCTTGCTTCAAGGCAACGAGTTGGCGACGGGCGGTACCCTGGGGGTCTGGGTCTCCAAACGAGGCTTCCAGGTGGGCAACGAAGGCAGTGACGGAGGAGAAGGGGGCGGCAGGGTTAGCGTTAATGAGTGGAACGACCTGATCAAGGGCCCTTCCTTTCAAGCGACTGACGGCATAAATAACCTTTGCTGCCTCGTTTCGGAACCGATCGTGGTTGACTTCAAGTTTCATTCGAAGTTGGGTGGTGAATCCGGGGAGCTTGGTACGGGTGCCATCGAATTTTTCAGGGTCTGGAAACTTTTCGGACCTGAAGGCGGCGACAGTAACAGGTGGGGGGGAAGCGGCAACGGGGACAGCAACGGTAGGGGCGGGAGCAGCGCGGGCGACATTGAGGTCGAGGTTGAGCCGGGTTACCTGCTCCTCGAGGTTGTCAATGATTTCATTGGCGGCGGTGAGTTGTGTATGAAGGGTGTCCCTCTGGAAGCGGATGCGCTGGACGAGGGCAGCGATGTTGTTAAACAGTTCGGTAGAATCGGCCTCATACTGCTGCCTGAATCCTTCCACATCGTTGGGTGGGGCCCATGCAGGTGGGTCGGGGGTGGACATGTCGTACAGTGCAGATGACGACGCAACGTAATCTTAAGGGGGCGAGTAGCGAATATTCCGCAGGGTACGAAGTGTGTAATAGGGGGACGGTATGGGAACTCGCAATAGGGGTCCTAAGGGACTCTAGCATTGGTGAGGGTCAACGGGACAAGGAGAAAGCGAAGTGGTGGTCTTCTTAAATAAAGAAGAGAGCGATAATATTGTATAGCAATAGACAGCGTAGATACAGAAGACGTTGCGTAAAGAAAGAAGAAGAAAAAGAACGAGAAATATAAACAAACCCCCCTTAATATACTTAACGAAATCCCAGCGATGACAAATCCAATATGACTCATACATTAACGATCAACAGAACCCGATAGAACCCAATAGAATCTTTTTGACTAATCCGACTCTTGTAACCCCGTACATCCCCTAGTCGATCCATGAAATGTGAGTATGCAGGACATACCGCTGATCTGAGAAATCACCCAACAGCAGCCCAAATATATTAATAATCTTGGCCAAATGATACCGTAATGATAGTCCGAGAGCGCCGCAACCATTAACAGTATCACTCAGTTCCCAGAACCGATTGGCATGAATAGATGGACGCGACCAGTAGAGTCAATCAACAGTATCAGGAAGAACAGAACCAGCACATGATAGGGCTGACCAACTGTATCCAACAGTTCTTACAGAGTGGCCAGATTGAGTGCCCCGTGGAGATTACCGCACTCTTCACTAGACGCCCGAGGTGCTGAGGTCGCTCAGGGTGCTTGATAAGTAAACTACTTCCCTGGAGATATGGCAAGCACTATTGACCGCTCCAGCGGTTCCTGAGATAGAATGATTGCCCTGACCCCTCCTGACGTTGCCGAATCCTGTACTTTGAAACCTATCTCATGCCTGATATACCGATTCCTATATGTCGGCACTTCATTCTCTCAAGGTGTATATCTCTGCGATGTACCAGCCTCTGTTATACACAATTCCCCCACAAGATTATCAAAACATCACTCGCATGATGATGTTTACTGCCTCTAGAGTATTTGTCACTGCACTTTTAGAATTGGTGTATTCAACACCGTGATCCTCCACCTAATAATAAAACGATACGCTATTTAAAACTCTAACTAACTGTAATACAATATAAGGAAAAGAACAAATCCCTCACTGTATTCTTTAGCACTCGCGATTGTTTTACACATCCTGCTCCCCCTACCTTTCATAGACCCCTGCTACAAGTGATTCTGACTCCTCTTCTTCCTTCTCTCCGTCCTCTTCGGTGCCATCGCCGCGAAGTTGGGCATTAATCACTTCATACTGGATGCTGTCGGAATTAACCCAATCTTCTGAAGCACTTGTGAGGTGTTTTCCGAGCATCTCGGAATGCGACAAGATCCGCAGTCAGAGCTTTATCGTCCTCGCTAAAACCCTCCCCTGGCAACAACTCAATAGTTACCCCTTTTTTATCTCGTATTTATTGGGGTTAGCATTTAGAATACTACTCGCATTACCTGTAATGGGGGTCTCTTCTGAGTGAAATAGAATAGGATAGAATAGAGACGGCCATGCAAGATAGAAAATCGGTTGCAAATTATTCAAAGATACTATCGCTAGAACTCAATAATCTTTGAGGGCTCTGCTACCGATAAGAACTTGATTTTTCTTTTTGATGAAGACTGGAGAGAACAGGACTCAACGGCGAGAATGAACCTGAGTACTTATACTCCGAAAGCCTCTATTCTCTGCTCCCAACACCTGCAGCCTTGGTTGCCACACACCTCGAGCCTGCATAAATGAGCTACCACTCAGATGTAAGCTTAGTCATTGCTGTAGAGCTTTTGCTTATTGTAGACTTCCCTAGCATAGTCCCTGCCCTTCGGCAGACTTACAATGCTCAGAGGATACAGAGGATCACTGGTCAATCAGAGCTTCACTCTGGCCAGCCTTCTAACAATAACTCTCAGCATGTAACCGGGCCCTGTGTGTACTCATACATTAGACAGTTGAAATGGCTCCATTACATTACCGGCATCTGGAAGTATCATACCTTTTCCCGAAGATTGTCTCTGGTTACCCCCAAGATTCCCTCCCGGTTCTGTTTGTTTTTTCCCTTTCAAATATTGCTCATCCCTTTGAACGTTTCTACTCGAGTTTGAATGTCAGCTCGGTAATCCCGTATAGCCCTAGGAGAATCTATAATTGCTCTCAAAGCACTCACTATATCAATGAGAGCATCGGGATGTACTTGCTCACAATACTCTCATTCTGCGACTGAAAATTATCAGGCTTCAAGTAACTCCCTGTTGACCACGCCCGAATGCCATTCCAGATCGCCGTCGATATGAGGCAAATAAGGGTGTGAGTTATCCGCTCTAAAAATTTGGGATCCCTAACCCCTCTCATTCTTACCCTATCGAAGTATTTAAAATACAATATATCAATATTTCTAGTAGTGCAATGTCAGACAGGATTTTGAGGTTGCCCGGGAACCGTGGCCTCACAATTCCGGGCTCCGTGGCTATGGGTCGAACAGGACGACCCGAGTCCATTCCCATCATCAGGTATGCGCGTACAGGGGGTCGTGGTCGTGATTGCGGGGGCGGAGGTGGTGGTTGGGGGCTGTTGAGTAGGGTAACTCACTGTGAGTCATGGCAACCCGTCCTGATTCACTCCATCACCGACACTCACAACAATCGACAACTGCACCGTACCGAGCGTGCCTTCTCTATCCTACAATCATGACGGCGTTCAAAACTGAATCATACCGTGTTTCCCTATATTGTGGTTCGATGAAATACACGAATTTCGGATTCTGAACCCCGGGTTACCGCATTGGGCGAATCCCATTTCGACGCTCATAACCCTAACCGCCAACAGCCAGGTACAAACCACCACCAAATACAGATTTATGTATTTCATTTCTGCCGAAAATTCTATTTTGCACACCTAACCGAACCATATGGCAACGCTCGTAACCCTAACCGCCAACAGGCAGGTTTAAACCAGCTCGTAATACAGATTCACGCATTTCATTTTGACCGAAAACCGTATTCTCTAACCCTAACCAAAATCCCACTTCAACGCTCGTAACCCTAACCACCCGCATGCAGGTTTAAACCACCACCAAATACAGATTTATGTATTTCATTTCTGCCGAAAATTCTATTTTGCACACCTAACCGAACCATATGGCAACGCTCGTAACCGTAACCGCCAACAGGCAGGTTTAAACCAGCTCGTAATACAGATTCACGCATTTCATTTTGACCGAAAACCGTATTCTCTAACCCTAACCAAAATCCCACTTCAACGCTCGTAACCCTAACCACCCGCATCCAGGTTTAAACCACCACCAAATACAGATTGTATTTCATTTTGACCGAACATTGTATTTTGTACATGTAATCAATTCAGATTTGAACGCTCATAACCCTAACTACCCACATCCAGGTTCCAACCACCACCAAATACACATTCAAGTATTTCATTTTGACCGAACATTGTATTTTGTACATGTAACCAATTCAAATTTGAACGCTCATAACCCTAACTACCCACATCTAGGTTCCAACCACCACCAAATACACATTCAAGTATTTCATTTTGACCGAACATTGTATTTTGTACCAATAGAATAACAACGACCTGAAGAAAAATAGATAGAAAAGTGTCACTTCAGTATTCTGTCCTACATTCCAATTCCAATACGTAACTATGAAGGTTGCAATTACTACTTTTCGGGTTGTATCGTATTATTGTTCTAGGCACTACTGAGCAATATTGAATCGCTGGATAGATATGCATGTCTACTAGGACAACATGTAAAGCAAACACTAATGGTGAAATTGGTTACTACTATTTGTGATAGCTTGAGAGGTATAATATCAATCGAAACAGAAACTGCATCAGAGTTTGCAATTGAGATTTGTTGGTATGGTTTGCTATGATTCGATTTGTATACACACTTGTTGTGACAGAATGTAAATCAGGAATACTAAATAAGATTTGTGAGAATTTTTGGCAATCGCTTGATACGTATGCATACAAATCGGAATGGCAAGTAAAGTGTATACCGATAAGAAAAGCTTTCTGTATGATGGTTGAATACTAAATAGGAGTCGATACCTGTCAGGAAAATATTCGAATCGGTAATTAGCAGTGAACTTGGTTGATATGATTAATAATTGGTTCATACTTACTAGAGGTGCGCCCCCTCCCGACCGTGAGGTCCCCTTCTCTCCCACCTATGTGTAGTATCTAGGCACCTCCAGTAATTAGTTAATTTTGTCTTTGCCGTCTCATGTTCTGTTTTCCCGGCCATGTCACATAAATGCCTAAATTTTGCTCTGGAGATCTATTTCCGATTTTCAATGCCAGGTCCAGTGCCAGCTCTAATGCCCGCTCTGGTGCGAGCTAAAATCAAGGTCAGCCCCAGTGTCAGCTTCGGTGTCGGCTCAAATATATGCCAGCTCTAGCTGGAGCCGCCCGAATGCCATCTCTAATGCCCACTCCAGTCCCAGCTCCATTAGATGCCGGCTCCAGTGCCAGCTCAGATACATGCCAGCTCCAGTGTCCACTTCTCTGCAAGCTCCAGTGCCCGCTTCTCTGCAAGCTCCAGTGCCCGCTTCGCTTCCAGCTCCATTACCAGCTCTGATGGCTGCTCCGGTGGGAGCTCCGGTACCCGCTCCAGTACCCGCTCCGGTGCCAGCTCCGGTGCCAGCTCTAACCCTCACTCCTGTGCCCGCTCTTGTGCCCACCCCTGTTCCCGCTCATATTCCTGCTCGTCTTCCCACTCTTGTGTCCGCTCCGGTGACCGCTCGAGTGACTACTCTGGCATTCGCCTCGATGCCAGCTCCTGTGCCAGCTCCAATGCCAGCTCCAGTGCCAGCTCTGATATATTCCAGCTCCCTTCACCGTTCCTCCACCACACTGGCACCTCCTCTTCCCCTCTTACTGGTCTTGCCTCTCCCTATTCGCACTCCCCGCCAACTACTGTTCGTCTCTCTCGCCTATTCTGCTCATATTTGACTACTAAATAGCTATATTTATTATTTAATCATAAAGAGTTCCGTTGGTTGGGCTGGTCTCATAGGTAAAGTCAGGGTTAGGGTTTGGGCTTGGCAGGAAAATAGGGAGGGTAACGGCCTTGAGCAGGCAGGGTAACCCCCAAAAAAGGTAGGGTAACGCACAAAAAAGGTAGGGTAACGGCTCAGAGCAGGCAGGGTAACCGCACTAATCGGGTAGGGTAACCATCTCAAAATAGGCAGGGTAACAGAACAAAATCGGGCAGGGTAACTGCACCAAACACACGAATTTGATGTGTCGCGCTTACAAAACACCCCTGTCGCTGTTAACAAATCAGATTGCAGCAATCTCAGAAGAATTATATTCCAGTACATATTAGATACGTTCTTATCAGAACAGCAAATTTAACAGTTATTGACAAACAAAACCTTTTGTATTATTTACAATCCTTTGATGGGTATGTATCAGCACAGCGAGTGTATCAGAAATTCAAATTCTCATTTGTTACAATCGTTCATGAAGGTTTGAAAGCTATGAATATTTATTGGCACAGTAAAATACTGAAATTGATACTCAATGTATTTGATGGCTTGATTGGTATACCATGTTCTGGATCAATATTGAATAGATTGAATACTGCACTACGGTTTACAAAATATCTTCTCCCACAACACGAAGTTGCGGCTTTCTAATCTATTCTGAAATATATACAATCTATGCTCATATTCTGAACTTGAGAGTGAACAATATTCAGCACTTATCTCTAAAACTCATTGTTTTAATTGATAACAGTCTTTATAACATGTATCCTGATATTTTGTATTTAGTAAAAGGGTAGGAATTTGACGATGTCCGCAAGATAACATCTGTTCCACCTCACCTACCTATTAACAGTATGCGCCCAAATTCCCCCAAGCCTTTAGAATTAGGATTATGAATGCTTTTGATTCAGAATGTCATATTTGAGCTGACTGGCGATCAGTATAGCACTCAATTGCTTGAACGTTCTCAGTGTAACCCAATTCAGATCCTAAAACCTTGTCCGATTTCATAGATCGATTGAATAATATAGTAGGTTACAAAGGGTCAAATTGATCAGAAAACTTCTATGGATTTCTAGAAGTTTCCGTCGATTTTAAGGGTATGAGTTACTTGAGATTTGTGATTGCTAAGCTTTCTTTATGTATATTAAGGGGCTTTGCCCTCGATTCTATTCTTTTTCCCTCTCTTTTCTTCTCTTTCTTTTGGTATGCAAAGGCTTAGGTAATCTACGCTGGCTATTGCTATTCAAGTACTATTTTCTCTTCCTTTATAAGGAGACCATCTCACTTGTCCGACCTTAACACCGCTAGACCTAAACTACTGTAAGTTTCTCCAACCCCTCTCGCTGATTAACCTACCAGCCCCTATGACCATCTCCCGTACCCTGCGGAATACTCGCTACCCAACTCCCTATGATTACGTTGCGTCGTAATCCGCACCATACGCCATGTCCACCCTCAACCGACCTACATAGGTCTCATCTAACAAAATTGAGTAGTTTAACCATCAGTACGAATTGAATACTGCTGCCCTGTTTGACCACCTCCCTACTATGTTTTAAAGCATCCGACACGAGAGGGATAGTGCTTGTACACTGCTCTCCGCCGTCCACAAAACCATTGGCTACCTGGAAGAGCAAGTAATACAGGTCAACCTTGACCTCAATGTTGACCACACCGCCTCCACCCCCAATGTTCCTATCCCCATTTTCGCTGCTACTGCACCAACCACTGTCTCCACCTTTGGGTCTGAAACTTTCCCCGAAAAGTTTGATGGCATCCGGACCAAAATCTCCGGATTCGTTACCCAACTCCGAATGAAGCACGAAGTCAATCATAATCGGTTCCGCAATGGGACAGCAAAGGTTATCCATGCGGTCAGCTCTTTGGAGGTAAGAGTCCTTGATCAGGTAATACAACTTGTTAACGCCAATCCTGCTGACTTCTTTTCCTCTGTCACCTTCTTCGTCGCCCACATAGAAGGCTCATTTAGAGAACTAAACACTCGAAGTACCAACCACCGCCAACTCGTCCCCCTGAGGCAAGGCAAAGGAGACTTTGCCACCTACTACTCACAGTTCATCAGAAACGTGTCCCACTTGCATTACAACAAAGGAGTCAAGATTGATGAATTGCCGGAAAGATTGTTGGACAACTTTAGAGACGTCATGACATATCGAACGGACAGACCAAATATGGTGGAAGCATATGCGACCATTTTAGTGACGATCGACAACCAAATGTAACTGACATGCTATGATGAGGCACAACCGTGACTTTCTTTGGAATAGTGTAAATAAAGAGAGCGAGTTTTGATGATACAGGTCCAGAAAGAAGAAAATGGCAGTTTGTATGTTTGAACGTTCCCAAGTCTAGAAAATTATAACTTTAATGGTCTCCTCTCTATTAAAGATCCGTTGATGATGAGAGGCCAACCTGGGCCAAGACCGAGTGCCTTATAGGAATATGGCGCATTTGCTCAAGTTCTTTTTCCGACTGACAGTCTGCCTATTGATAGTCAGGGGTACAGTAACTATTTTCTATCAGGGGAGAGGTGAGTAACTACGACACCTTGGATGAACTTCTGTCTGAGTCAAATCATTCAATTTGCCGAAATCTGTGGTTGGAATCTCAAGAACTATTGGAAACAGCCGACCAGATAATAATTGGTTATTCTAACTTTATTAGAACCGATTTGGAGGTTTGTAAACCGAAGTTTTGCTTTAGTAGCTTGAGTCGCACTCCCACTCCCCAAAGATGCTCCGGAGCAAAACAGGAGCATTCCGACAGTTTGACACTCCGGAGGTTAGTGTTGGGGATTAAACGTGTTTTTGGAATTAGATTTTCCATTAGCTCCGGGACACCGCCAGAATCATTCCTGTCGTGCTAAAGCATGGTCTTTGAGCATCGGTTGGAGATATATGAAACCTGAAAGATTCGACTGCCTAGGTAGGGAACTCCCGTCCGGGGTTCCCTGTGCTATCAGCCATCTTTGTTCTTCTGTTCCAGGCTTGCTCAGCCCCTATTTTTGACTTGCAAGACTTCTTACTCATTGAGATCACTGTCCTCTATACCACTAAAGGTAGGAGCCTAACTGCCCTTGTCTTCACGCGTCGATGAAGAACAAGCTGCTGTTACTTTGGGTCGGTGGCTTAATTGATGGAATAGGTTCTCTTGTAACAGCCTGATAGTGGCCTTGTTACATTACTCCCCTCTATTGTAGACTCGTTTTGAGTCCACTGTAGTGTTACTGGAACATTAGTATTTCGCACAAAAGAAAAACTGTAGCTCTATTGGTGATTACGTACAAATTACATCTCTGTTTCTATTTCCATCAGAGAAAGAAAACTCTAACATGAAATGCCTTTTAAAACAAAGAAAATGACATATTCTCCACTCTTGTCGTAGAACCTTCCGTTCCACTAGTGGAGATTTCGATGTTAGCAAGAATCTCTCTTTTTCCCTTGTCTTTTTTACGCGGGTTTCCTCACGCTTCGGTTTTCTATCATTTCTTGCATTGTTTTCAGGGAAAAATGGTATCCGAACTCTGTCAGACCGATGAAAAACCTGGTACAGGAGAGTTGGTTTTTGTTCCCGGATTTCTTCTGGGATACAAAGCTACTCACGCTGTGTTTTGAGGATCCCTAAAGTTTCCCCGTATTTTCCGAGGTTTTTGCGGGTATTTTTGATGAAATTCTTTGAGGGCCTCGTCGGCTCTTCCTTGCAGAATTTCATATGGTTCTCAGGAGTCTTCCGAACGATAGCCCTCCCAAACAATGCGATACTCTACAAACATTTTCTGATGCCTAGCATGTTGCCATCGGCTATTAGCTATTTCTCGGAGAACGTGACTGTATTCTCCTTCGACCTCATCTGGAGTAGGAGGGACTTCAGTGCGTCGGGGGTATTTCAGTCCCCGATAGGACTCCAGCAGAAATATTTGGAAGTCATCATGAATGTTCCATTGAGAGGGAAGCTTCAGCCTGTAGAACGCAACAACAAGTTTCTCATCAACCTCAAAGAGATATAGTTTCTTGTAGTCAAGCTTGCTTGAGGGTCGATTGGCAACCATATTGCATCGGTCCATCATCACCTTATCCCCATCTTCAGGTTCTGGAGCTTTCATATGCTTCTAGTCATACCATTTCTTCTGCCGGGCCTGTGCCTTAAAAATATCAGTCCTCATAGTTTTCCAAAGAGCTTTCCACTTGAACTTTAATACGGCACTGGAAACATTGGCATTGTCCAGCTTCCTTCTGTGCAAATGCCAATCGGAATCAGGCTCGAACCCATAGTTCGCGTAGAACTGAGATACTTTAGTGGACTATTGGGTTGCCGTTTTGTAGGCGTACTCTGCAAGTGGGAGTAACCCTGCCCAATCGTCCTGCTGGTAGGAGCAACAGTTTCTGAAATATTGCTCTAGCATTTGATTGACCCTCTGCTTGAGGACGATATGCCGTAGACAGACAGAGGTTAACTCCGAGAAGCTTCATCAATGAATACCAGAACTTTGCTTTCGAATCTAAAGTCCCGATCAGAAATGATTTCTTCGGATAGTCCATGTAGTCGCCATGTTTCTTGAAGGAATATATGCGCAAGTTCCTTGATTGTTGCCTCAGTCAGGAGCGGTATGAAGTAGGTGATTTTCGTAAAGCGTTCAACAATAACCCCGATACGGGTAAAGGCTTCAGATTCTGGCAAACTAACGAAAAAGTCCATAGAGATGGAGCTGCAAGGAGTATTGGGGACCTATAAATGTGGTAGCATCCTGTACTTTTCATGACTGGAGCTTTTATTGCTTTGACATGTATCGCAACTCCATACGTATTCTCCCATATCATTGTCCATCTTTGGGCAAAAGAACAGTGCCCGAAGATGCTCTGCAGTTTTGAATTGACCCAAGTGGCTTGTGGGCTTCGAATCATGTAGGGCGCTCATGATTTTTGGTTTGAGCTCCCGGTGATTTGGGATGTAGCATCTTTTCTTCTAAAAGACATTACCGTGTCTCAAAGTTAGGTTTCGGTTTACTGTCTTACCGAAGGTGTGATCCACAGCCTCCTCCGAGGAGAATTACTTAGGGTCTGAAGCTGAATGAGGCCGGATTTTGTCCAGAAGCACCGGTGTGAGTTTGCAGACCTGAGGTGACTTTGGGCGTTAAGATTTGATCGTAACGGTTGGTGGTTGTACAGAAACCATTCTGCTAGGGCAACTTAGGACAGGATTGTTCGGTTGGGCGAGAACCGTACCCGTACAATTCCCGATTCCGTTGCTATCGGTTGGCCAAAACGAATAGAATCCATCAGCATCGTCAGGTATGTGGGTAAAAGGCAACATGATTTTGATATCTGGAGCGGAAGTAGTGGGTGGGGGCTGTTGAGTGTTAGCTCGGGTAACCTATTGCTAGGGGTAGATAGGGTTAACTGGAATGACAGGCCAAATAAGGGTTACAGGCCAAATTAAGGTTAACTAGGGTTAACTAGGGTTAGTTAGGGTTAGTTAGGCTTAGGGTTACTTAGGGTTACTTAGGGTTAGTTAGGGTTAGTTAGGGTTAGTTAGGGTTAGTTAGGGTTAGTTAGGGTTAGTTAGGGTTAGTTAGGGTTAGTTAGGGTTAGTTAGGGTTAGTTAGGGTTAGTTAGGGTTAGTTAGGGTTAGTTAGGGTTAGTTAGGGTTAGTTAGGGTTAGTTAGGGTTAGTTAGGGTTAGTTAGGGTTAGTTAGGGTTAGTTAGGGTTAGGGTTAGTTAGGGTTAGTTAG